CCCCTGCCTGCACCTTGCACCCCTCTTGCACCCCAACCCCCTGCCCTGAGCCCCCTGCTGCACCCCGCACCCCTCCTGCACCCCAATCCCCTGCCCTCAGCCCCCTCATACACCCCGCACTCCTCCTCTGCCCCAATGCCTTGCCCTAAGCCCCTTCCTGCACACCGCACCCCCTCCCACACCCCGCACTCCCTCCCGCACCCCAACCCCCTGCCCCGGCCCTGCATACAATTTCCCCACCCAGATGTGGCCCTCGGCCCAAAAAGTTTGCCCACCCCTGTTCTAATCAGATATTGTAGGAAGGTATGGTCTATAGGTGACAACGCAAGACGACCATTAGCATTGCTTTCTTTCCAGGTCTTCTCTAATGTGTTTAATACACAATTTCACTGAGCCCAAATGACACATGCAAAGTAGATGTTCCCTGTATAGCCTATTACAGTGCCTACTTCTATTAAGTTGTATCCATAGAGATGACACAGACTGACTGAAGGACAGGATAGTGCTCACTTGCAGGTCCTGGATTATTCTGTTGGTGTGAGTATCAGGAAAGTGCATTTACTGTTAAATTTTGGCTGGCAGTGTCGGGAGATGCACTATAATACATACATGTTTTCTCTCTGTAGCCTTCAGAGACTTTGCAGCATAGTAAAAAAGCTGGGTTCCACACAGTGCTGCCCAGTATTTTGTCCAAGATGCTACCTACAGAGAAAGAGAGAGAACAGATTAATGAAACAGAATATTTTATGCTGTCTTGTTAAAAATGCATGTATGTTTACCTCATCATCCCATAAATTTCCCTAGGGCAGCAACTGCCCAGGACCTAGCCCAGCCAAAAAGAGCTGCCTTTTCACTGATGCTATTTCTAGTTAGATTAAGAATACATGTCCAGGAACACAGTATGAATCAAGAAAGTAGTGCACAGAGGTCTTGATCAAACCTTAATGATCCAGGTATCAAACAAGGTAATACTTCTAATAATAATAATTAATGGAGATATCCTATCTCCTAGAACTGAAAGGGACCTTGAAAGGTCATCAAGTCCAGCCCCCTGTCTTCACTAGCAGGACCAAGTACTGATTTTGCCCCAGACCCCTAGGTGGCCCCCTCAAGGATTGAACTCACAACCCTGGGTTTAGCAGGCCAATGCTCAAACCACTGAGCTATCCCTCCCCCCTTATTTCCTCTACTTTACCAAGACTTTTTATTCAATACTGCACTGACTTTGGGTACAGAAATACCTTTTCTTTTTAATGATATATTTGCCATCAAGGGGCAGCATCAAGAATTAGAACATTGACTTGTTTGGAAATTACTGATTTATCACAAAATATTTGTAATAACAACTATTAAGACCCATTTTAGCTGCTGTCATTTCAGCACTCATCCTCCATTGAGCAGGGTAGAAAAAATAGTTACCGACTTCTTGTAACTGCTGTTCTTTGAGATGTGTTGCTCATGTCCATTCCATTCAAGGTGTATGTGCGCAGTCGTCAGAGATTTTTGCCTTAGCGGTATCCGTAGGGTCGGCATTGGTGCCCTCTGGAGTGCCGAGCTCATGCGTCGGTATATTAGGCACCACTGGCCCTACGCCCTCTCAGTTCCTTCTTGCCAACCACTCAAACAGAGGGGCAGGAGGTCAGGTAATGGAATGGACAAGAGCAACACATCTCGAAGAAAGGTAGGTAACCATTTTTTCTTCGAGTGCTTGCTCATGTCGATTCCATTCTATGTAACTCACAAGCAGTATTCCTGAAAGTGGGCTTGGAGTTCATGGTTATGCATGTGTGTGTGGGGGCGGGTAGGGGGCGGCAGCACGTGGTTCCATGCATTGCCCCTCTCTGCGAGCACTGCAGTGGAAGCTGTGGGGGCAGTGCTTGCAGGCAAGAGCAGCGCGTGAAGGGAGACTCCTGCCCTCCACGACCCTAGGGCCGCACTGGCCACTTCTGGAAGCGGCGTGGGGCCGTGGCAGGCAGGGAGCTTGTCTTAGTAGCAGCCCCGCTGGAGATCGCGATCAACTGGGAGATCCTCTAGGATCGACCAGTCGATCGCGATTGACCAGTTGGTGACCACTGGTCTAGATCGTGTCTGTTGGGGATGTAGACCAATGCCAACCATGCTTGCAATGGCTGGAGATGGAGCTGGGCATGATGGACCACGTACGTACACGCTGCCATGTGGCCTAACAACCGCAGGCAGGTGCAAGCGGCGGTGAGCGGGTGGGTCCTTTACATGAGAAATTAAGTCCAACATGGCTTGGAAATGGGTGTCTGGAAGGAAAGCTCTGGCTCGCATAGAGTTGAGGACCGCCCCTGTGAACTCTATCTGTTGTACAGGTCTTAGGGTTGATTTCTTTTTGCTTATCAGGAGGCCCAGGTCGTGGCAGATGGAATGTACCAGATCGAGGCTCCTTTGCACCTGTTCCCGAGATGTGCCCTTGATGAGCCAATCGTCGAGATACAGATAGACCTTGACGCCTCAGGTAAGCGGCCACTGGTGCCATGCATTTTGTGAACACTTGCGGGGCCGAGGAGAGACGAAATGGCAGTGCTGTGAATTGGAAATGGTGCCAGCCCACCATAAAGCAGAGGAATCGTCTGTACCCTTAGAAGATGGAGATATGAAAATAAGCATTCTTCAAGTCAAGGGCAACGTACCAGTCTCCTGGATTCAGGGAGGGGATGATGGAGGCTAGGGAGACCATGCGAAACTTCACCTTCTTGAGAGACTTGTTGAAGTGCCGCAGGTCCAGAATGGGTCTTAGGCCCCCTTTTGCTTTCGGGATTAGGAAATAACGGGAGTAGAACCTTTTTCCTCTCATTTCCCGAGGGACCTCTTCCACTGTTCCCATCTGCAGGAGGTTCTCAACCTCTTGAACGAGGAGTTGCTAATGAGAAGGGTCCCTGAAGAGGGACAGGGAAGGGGGGTGGGAAAGGGGCGGCTAAGAATTGTAGAGTGTAGCCCAGGGATATAATTTCAAGCACCCAGCGCGCCCAAGTCACCTGCGACCAGGCTGAACAGTAGGGACATAGGTGGTTAAGGAAAGAATGAGGCAGATCCAGGAAGAGGACTGGGGTGTTGCTCTTGAGCGCACCCTCAAAATGATCACTTCTGGCTCCCCACGATGTTTCGCCAGGCTGGGCTGCGCAGGTGACAGGAAGAGGAAAGGCAGCGACGACAAAAACTCATGTCTCTGTCCCTTCTCCTTGCAGATCCCTGACGAGGCTGCCAAGACCTTGGAGGCGGGGGTGGCTGGAACTGCTTCCTCACCGACTGCGGTGTACGAAGACCCAGCAAGCAGAGGGTTGTCCGAGTGTCTTTCAGTCCATGCAGCCTCGCATCCATTTGTTCTGCAAAGAGTCCATTCCCATCAAACAGGAGGTCCTGCATGGAGGACTGCATCTCCTGGGACAGGCCCGCGGTCTGAAGCCAGGAACTGTGCCTCATGACCACTGCCGATGCGACCACCCTGGCAGCCGAATCAGCCGCGTCCCAGGCCATTTGGAGGGAGCATCTAGCCACTGCTGTACTTGCCTGTAGCGGGATGGTCACCCCACTCCTGCCCAGAGGGGTTAAAACCAGCCCTGGGAGAGGGCTAGGGCAGGGGAAAAGCTGGGCTGATTGGGGGAAGCAGCCTCAGCTGGGGGCCACGCCCCAATCAGGGTCCAGCTGGCCCTATAAAGGCCAGTGAAGCCAGGAGCAGGCACAGTCTCTCTCTGGCTGTAGAGGGAGACAGGCCTGGCTGTAGAGGGAGCTAGATAAGGTACCTGAGCTGGAGCAGGGCTGGGGGAAGGTCCAGGGAGCTGGGGAGCTCCGGCCTGGAAACCCCCAGGCTGCGGCCTAGTATAAGGCCAAATAGGTACTGGGGTTGTACGGGACAGAACCAAGGCTAGGCCGAGACAGCAGGTCCAAACCCCTCCTTGCCTGTGATCAGTGGCTTATACTGCAGTCTGCCCCAGGGAGAGGAGGCTAGTTGGTGACTGGCAGTAGCCTACGACTGAGGCGAGGTGGGGATGGGGGTGGGGGCTCCTTGGGGAGGGGAGACCCAGTGAGACTGCGGGGTACTGCAGGGGGCAGCACCCCAGTCTGAAAGGGGCACCAGGGTCCAAGAGGGACTTGGGACCCAGCGGGAAGCAGGACACCGGCCTGCAGAGGGCACTCCAGAGTCGAAGAGCTAATTCCTAGGACGACCGACAGGAGGTGCTGCAGGGCTGAGTCGTCGCCCTGTTACACTGCCTCAATTAGGGCCCTGAATTCTTGGGCCAAGTCCTGGGGCAGGGAATCCTCGAATTTATGGAGGGAATCCCAAAAGTTTAAGTTATATCTCCCCAAAAGAACCTGGTGGTCTGCTACCCTGAACTGACGCTGGCTGTTGAATACATTTTTCTTTCAAAAAGTTCCAGCCTCTTGGCTTCTTTATTTTTGGGAGTAGAACTGGGTTGCCCGTCTGTCTTTCTCATTGGCCACAGAGACAATCAGTGACCCCGAAGGTGGGTGGGTATACAGGTATTCGAACACTTTAGGTGGGATGAAATACTTCTTTTCAGCCCTCTTGGAAGTGGGCGGGATGGAAAACGGGGTTTGCCAGAGGGCTTTAGTTATTTTTAAGACCCCATCGTGCACCGGTAGCACGACATGTCAGGGGGTTGATGCCAAGAGCATAGTAAATAAGGTGTCCAAATGCTCCACCATCTCCTCCACCTCCAGGCCCGAGTTCATGGCCATCCTTCGAAGCAGGGCCTGGTGGCGCCTTAAAATTGTCCAGTGGGCTGGCAGGAGAGAGCCCCGCAACACCCTCATCTGGAGACGGGGAGGGTGTAGGACATCATCCCCCATGGGGGAAGAGACTTTAGGAGTGGGCATTCGCTCCTCCCCCCGGCATCCGATTCTGCTTCACGCACTGAGCCCGGTGCCACCAGTTGCTTTTCCAAAGTGGCAACCGATGAGTGGTGTGAAAAGGGCATTGGCATAACCAGCATGCACCATGCATTCCAGTAGGGCCACTGTGCCAGCCACTGGTCCTGCTGCCAGGAAGGCATCGCGGAGGTTGACACAGCCTCAGGTGCCCACTCGTGCTGGTGCTCCCTCAGTGCGGGGCTCAACTCCCTTTCAGAGCCCTTCAGTGATCATGGTGGGGCTGTCAACGCCTGAGTTTGACGGCTAACCATCACCGTAGGCAGATTGGTGTCGGGAGCGAGGAGACTGGTACCGCATCGGAGATCATTCCCGTGGTCTAGGTGATGGGGATCTATGCCGTGGAGACTACTGGTGGGAGGACAACCAGTGCCGGCCATACTATGACCAACATCTCCCTCTGGATGATCCGTGTCAAGTAGGCGGAGACCACAAGTGCGGTGCCAGCAACCTAGGACATCTAACCGGCAACCTGGACTGTGGAGACGGAGAGTGCTGCCTCAGCTTCAGGAATCAGCGTGTTCGCTTGCCCTCTGGGGTGTGTGGGTGGGTGGGCGGGCGGTTTACGGCTGGCTTGCCCTCATAGGGAGCCTTTGCTGGGTCCAGCATTGTGCGCAGTGCCAGTGGCACTGGAAGAGTCCTTTGCTCTCTGGACTCTGGTAGGGCCTGGGAAGACAACAGCCCTGCCATGAGTTAGGGTCCCCTACCACTCTTGAGAGTCGGTGGTGGATCCCTTGGAGGGGGCGGGGGGAAAGAGGGCTAGGGGTCTGATCAGGGAGGCACACCCATGTAGCTCCGGGGTGGGCAGGCAGCCCAAACTGGATCCTTTACCCGTTGGCCTTTATTGCTTGGTGCTGGGGAGTCACATTTTTTCAATTTCTTCTTGGGCACTGGCAAAGGGGAGCATTGCTGGGCAAAGCCCAGTGTTGGGGGTGCACTACGCACAAGGCCGAAGTGCTGGGAGGGCTCCAACGCCGGATGGAGAGCAGCCTCCACGAGGAGGGCCCTCAAACGGATGTCGTGCTCCTTTTGTGTTCTCGGACTAAAGTTCTTACAGACGCGACATTTGTCCTTCACATGTGATTCCCCCAAGCACTTTAGGCAGCTGATATGGGAGTCACTAACAGGCATAGGCCTGTACAGGCAGAACAGGGCTTAAAACCCGGAAACCGGGGCATACCCCACCTGGGGCAAAGTCCCCACCGGGACTCTAACTTACTAACTACACTACTTTACTACTACTTATTAACTAACTACTGTAAACAAACTATTTACAAGACACTAAAAGTTTGAAGGAAGGAGAGAACTGCTAACCAACTTGCTAGGCAAGGAGAAAAAGTCGCACCGACCAACCATCATGGGCGGTAAGAAGCAACTGAGAGGGCATAGGGCTGGCGATACCTTATATACCGACACATGAGTGTGGCACTCCACAGCTGACCCTATAGATACCGCTAAGGCAAAAATCTCCAACTGTGCACGTGGGCGCGCGCGCACACACCTAGAATGGAACTGACATGAGCAAGCACTCGAAGAACATGCTTTCTGTTCCAAAGTCACCATTAATCAGGTGATGCTTATATAGTGGTATAACTGTCTTCCTCTCAATGGATTCAAAGTCTATCACAACGTGACCATCTCTATCAACTAGTGTAGTGGGAACTATAACATTGCTTCTAACCACAGACAGCAAGCCAACTGAGTTACAATAATAGGCATTTGTGATGGCTTATAAAAAGCTACACTGATTATTTTTGATGTGCTGCTCTTTGTCAGCAAATTGTCAGTTGAAATTACCATGTTTAAATAAAAAGAAATTTCCAGACCAGCTGCTGATAGAAGCAATATTAACAAAAAGCAATGTTATTTACTGTATGATATCAGCATTATAACACCTTGATGCCAGGCATCATAAATGTCTAATTATTAAAGCACAGAGATGCTTTTCTTCTTCTTGTGGAACTATACATCAAGATGATTAAAAAAAAGTGCTGCAAACATTTACTCTTTAATTTGCATACACTCATACTATATTTCAATAATTAATACATAATGACTCTTAAATGGTCAATTATCTTATTTCTCTAAATTTACTATGTACTAAAATATTGTAATATATGAAATATTTATGCAGAATACACTATTATTTGTTGACAAATCCCAGCAGTTTTAAAAGACTCATTATGATGCTCTGCACACACTCGTTAATATCAATAGATTTAGCAAACAAGGATATTTTGGTATTTTTAATATATAAAATGAATAAACTCAGAGCAAATAAAGTTAAAGTATTTACATTACAATATCATTTGCAATACTTTTAATTAGTTGAACACATGCATAAATTAATATATTAGAACAAGGACATTTATGATAGACTGGGCTTGCAAATAAATGAGAAGTATAGAAATAGATATGATATTTGTGCTTGTGATATCCAAGAATCACATTTATAGACAAAATATGTCAAATATGTCAAAATACAGAAATAATCTATAAGGGATAGATTCTCAGCTGGTATACATTGGGATAGCTCCCTCAGTCAATGGAACTATGCCAATTTACATCATCAAAGATCTAGCAATAAATGAGTGGGAATAATGACATTTTGTACTCCAGGTTGCTTAGTCTGTTCACTCTTCGGATCAGTTCAACAATTAGGGAGGGAAAGGGAAACAAATGGTTAGCACTTCCATACTCCAGTTGGATATGAATGGCCGCAAAATTGACATTCTAGTTACTAAAAGGAAATATAAAGACACCTTCCAGCAACAGAACATTTTTTGGGAGACGAAGTTTGAAAAACCTACTTGGATTAAGGAGAAAAATATGTAGGTCTAAAAATGTAAATAAAATCCAAGGAATTTTGTGGTGTAAATCTACAATAATCTGATAGATACGTTACTTCTGGAGAAATACTTATTTGCTAAATCAAGAAAAATTAAGGTCCTAGATGTTGCAATTGTATCTGCACAGGCTGGCAGTTGAATCAATGGCACAGACACAAGGGTCCATCCACATGGATTCAACTGAAGCATGGGTTCCCTGTATTGTACCTTATCGTGCAGTATTCCAAGTGCTTTGGCTTGGGGGTGTCTGGCAGTTATAAATATAATTATTACACACATAAATATCATTAACGGTGTGTTACCATTATAGTTTAAAGCAAAGAAGTTCAGAGAAGGATGCCATTTCCTCCTTAATATATCCAGTTTTATTTAATTCAGGCATTGTAGAGGTGTCTCAACAATGTATGAAGTTATAGACTGTGTATGCAAGGAGGAGGCAATAAAACTGTACAGGCTGTAAATGTGAATTCTCTTGAGTCTATAGATATATCAACACTAATATTTTAACAATATTTCTATTTAATATCAATAGTTGCCAGGCTCTTGCCCTCTAAAGGTATTTTGATTTTTTTTCTTTTAGCAGTGGATATGGATAGATAGTAAGTTATACTATGGTAAGTTAAATGTATTTATAAGTTATACCGTTTATGCAAGTGGAAAAATGTTAATTTAGGATTAATGGAATACTTTTGAAGGAACAAAGAAGATCAACTTCCATAACTGTAATTCCTTGATTTAGACAAATCACATGAATTCCAAAAAAATCAAATCTAGGAGCAGGAGCCTTTGTAAGTGACAAATATATAAGGTACCAAATACTGAAGTCTTTACTCACTTTTTAGTCAGTTCCTACTTGATCATAATTCCTACTGATTTTAGCAAGAGTTCTGTTTCAGTAAGGACTGAGTAAAAAGTGAGCAAAGGCTTCCAGATTTTAACCAAGTAGCTTTGTTCTGTTTTAAAGATATCATTTTAAAATAGAGAAAGAGGAAAAATGGTTTAGCATATATTTGAAGTCTTACGGTAGGCTTTTTGCCTTCCTTCAATAAAGTCTTCCTCCTGAGAACACCTTGAATAGTAACTGCTCCTGGATACAAATGAACAGCCAAATCTTCAGATTCTGCAGAACTACAAGAAGCATGTGAGAAAATAGTATGAAAAATATATAAATATCCTTTACCCAAAGCAGTACTCCAATCATTACCCAAACATAATGTAAACATCTGTACTTTAATTTAGAAATGCTGACATTTTATTTATTAGACTTCATCATGGAAAAAGACTTTGGTGGCTATGAGGGATTGCTCTTGAGGAATTTACAGTCACAAGCAAAAGTAAATGATTACTCAGGCTATGGCTACATTAGAGAGCTTATAATGGTACAGCTACATCAGTATAGCTGCGCCACTGTAAGCTCTAGTGTAGCCACTCTAAGCTGACAGAACAGCATTCTCCCATCAACTTAATTAATCTCCTAATGAGGGCGGTAGCTATATTGATGGGAGAAACTCTCCTGCCGATATAGTGCTGTCCACACCAGCTCCAAGCTCAGTGTAATTTATGTCACTGAGGGGGGGGGGGGGGGCTTATTCACACCCCTGAGTGACATAAGGGGTAGAGTAGACATAACCTGTGACTCAGATTTTACAGTCAGAAGGGACCATCATGATAATCTAGTCTGACTCCTGCACACTGCAGGCCACAGAACCTCACCCACCCACTCCTGTAATAGACCCCTAAGCTCTAGCTGAGTTAATTAAGTTCTTAAATCATGTTTTAAAGACTTCAAGTTACAGAGAATCCACCATTTACTCTAGTTTAAACCTGCAAGTGACCCATCGCCATGCTGCAGAGGAATAACAAATTTATGAGGCCAGAAGGTGGTTCATGATTTTAAAATGCACTTCCCAAAGCTTAGGATACAGTTATATTTCAACTATAACTAATTCTAATTGGTAAATAATTATAGATTTGTCATTACTCCATGAACAAGTAATGTTGTATCACTGTTGCAATATTTTATTAGAATCTTTTCCTAAGTCCTAGTGGGAAAAACTGGATTTTTTATTAAAATCATTTGAGTCAGTCAAATTACAAAAAATAAAATAAAAAATCCACAGCAAAAGCTCAACAAAACATGCACAATAATTATAAGATATTTGAGAGCAGTAAAGGACATCAATAATAGACAGCCGAAAACCTGGCCCACAGCAGTAAATTGTGTGTGTTATAATGCAGTTGGTGTGCTATTAATTCCCTATCAATCTAAATGGTGCCCAAAAAGAATATGCCAAAAACAGATGCCTGGTATGGTGAAAAGGAAACCAAAACTTTATTAAAAGTGAGCAACTGACTGGCTTACAAATTATTTTAAAACAGGAAAGATTCTTATTTTCACAACAGGGATAATTTCAGTTTATATCAACCAGTTTACATAATTAAATTGGTGTATTTATCAGCTCTCTAAAAATATGCTGAGAAACTACAGATTTTTGACATGTCTGTTGAAGTAAACCAGAATTAATCCATTAACCCATCACAACAGTTATGCATATGCAAAATAACTCAGAAATCTGGCAAACATTTTCACTACACCTACTAATTGACAGTGATATACTGACAAATTCAGACACGGATATGAACATGAATTTAACTCAATTACACGCAACGCTTGCTACTCATTAGTACATAAGAGTTATTCCCTTCTCTTTTACAACTCCAGTACCACACTGCTGCAGACAGAGTTGTAATTTAATTAGACAGAATGAAAAGCTGAGTGAGCATGCAGTTTTATATATAGTGCTATTTAGAATGAGTCTGGCCACACAGAGGGCCAATTTTAATTCATGACTTCCATTTTATCCAAGTCAGCCATTTTTTAAAGGCAAGTTCAATGAAGAATTATTAACAAAGAAAACACCTTGGACACAGTCTCAAGCACAAGTAGTACGTTTTGTTGCCAACATGGTTTCTACCACCACCACATAGTGTTACACTGTTAAAAAGCTACCTATAGTAAAGCATCTTTAAGTCTTGATGTAGAGATACAATATTTAGAAACTGGATAGGCAGAACAGAATGAGCCAGAGCCTGTATGATGAAATAGATCAAATCACAGAAGAGAAAATTTCTGTTTTAAGGATAAGTCACTACTGTAATTTTGCCTTGAAAATTAGAAAGATCAGAAATGTCAGAAGACACCCACTTAATTATCAAGCCAGTCACCAACACCAGAGGAAAAATCTGTGACCCCTGGATGCAGGGGATTATTGTACCTGCTGGCCTTCATGTGGCCTCGATAGCCATTTCGTGCCACTCTTGTCACCGGACCGAGAGAATGGTATAATCTGTTCCTGTTGGATTCCATTATAAATTGTATATATTACATATACTTTTATCCACAAAAGCAGCATAACTTGCTAGAACAGTGTAATAAAGTCTCTTGTGCCACATAACTACCACTCCTACAATAAGCAGTAGTGGATGATTTCATTAGAAAAAAACATGCAGTTGTAGATTTCAAAATCTACATTTCTTATTTGAACAGATGTTCTTGATGTCAGTGCTCATAACACTGGGGTATTTTTATTGTCATCTCAATTAATGGGTTTTGAGAACAGAAAAGCTTCTTTTAACTCACAAAATAAAAATGAAAATACTATAAGGAACTAGGTTGCAAACTGCTGCCTTTAATGCTGACTATAGATACTGCTACAGACTCTGTGACAAGAAGCAAAGGGCAATAAGGCCCCTAAACTTAGAAATAGGCACACAAGCATCAGTAGTTAGAGGAATACAAAGACTTCTTAACTCAATCCTGAGTATTGGCACCATTTCCAAATCAACCACTGAAGTCAACTTACAAAGAAAATCACATACACTCTGCTATGAGACAATATCTATTTAAAATGCTATACATTAAAAAAAAACAGATACTTCACTTGGATACACCTTTATTGGCAAAATCTTGTTAGTGAATGATATTTGTGGCTTAATATATTATGGTTCCAAGGTCAAATGTAAATTATTTAAGCTCTAAGAGACAGCAAACCTGTAATATCTCAATGATTCAGTTTAAAGGGAGTATAAACGTAACATAGGAAGTTTTAAATTTTTGAGCCCTTCACTACTGCTGTTTTCAGTACTGCTACCCAATTTCAGCACTTATTTTCTAAACTTATCTTCTGAATATTATTCTGTGCCTGATTCAAAGCTGGTTATATAGGGTCAGATCCATAGCTAGTGTAAATTGATGTAGCTCCACTGAAGTCAGTGATGATATGTTGATTAATTAATAGCAGTACTGAAGAAAACACAGTAATATCAAAAAGGTTAAACAAAATATAAAGTTTACACTCCCTTACCAACTCAAATAATTTCATATGCTGTAATAAGAAACCTCACCATAGATGTACTATAAATATAGATTTCCACCCTATTCTCCCTCCCAAGGAAACTGTGTTCTAAATAATTAATCTCTGCCCTTCAGCAACCTAGGTATCTTTGAATTTGCAAAATTTGATAAGGTCAGATTTTTCTTTTTAATTTCTAAAAAACCCTAATGATTTAGACAGCTAAACTTTTATGCTTACAATTTTTAAAAATTAAATACAACTGTTGCATCAACAACATATATAGATGAGAGATTTATGACTTGCATCCATCTTCCATGTAAATGATGGATATAAGCTTTGTTCTAATCTTTTAATTTGTCTTTGCATAACAAGGAATCGATCAATCTGGATAAAAACTATATTTGGTAACTATGCCCACCAGCACTTGAGATGACAGACCACTGGTCTATCTACATGCTGGGGTACAACCACCCAGAGGAGGGAACACGCTGACAAAATTTTGCTGACAGTATGATTGAGGAGAAATGGTGATTAGATCTGGTTTATATCTTAGCCAAAACTGAACAGAATTTCAAGCGACACAGAAAAGGCACTTCTCTAGCCTGAAGGCTTTCTCCCTGATGAACTTCAAAAGCCTGCTTCAAACAAGAGGAGTGGTAGAGCTTCTAAAAAAAAAAAAAATCACCAGAACTTTTTATAATGGAAAGCCTTAGGCAACCTAAATATAGCTATCACTATGAGGGAGAGAAAATCCAGACTGACCAATTCCCTGCCATAAAACAACAAATTGTAGGTAAGGACAAAATTGTCTCATTTTCATACACAAGTAATCCATCAGTCTGGAAATGGAATATTAGGAATTAGAAAGCAGTCAGGAACTCAGAAGAGGGAGGGAGAGAAAGTCAAACAGAGATCAAGCGAGGATGGCAATCTGCAAGATACTACAACCAAAGCGAGCAGCTGAAGATGAAGAACACATTCAACCGTGTTTTATAAATGAGTGAAAAGATGCCAGGTTGTCATTTTGCAGTGTTTCCCATAAGAAGCTGTATTTCCCTCTATCCATGAAATAGAGATTTTATAGAATTAGTTCAAACTAAATAGGGGAGTTTCATCTGCTCATCTATACAATTTTACAAGTCCTGCTTAGACTTATTGAAAGATTGTGGCTTTTGATCTTGCTCTGCCTGAGTAGAATAATATCTTGGCAGACATCCAGACAATGCCACTTTATTTCATTAGGATGGGAAGTATTGGGGGAAATAAAGGGAGTGAAATATACCAATTTAAGTGGTAAGGAGAAACAACCTTGAGTAAAAATCAAGATTATAGAATCATAGAATATCAGAGTTGGAAGGGACCTCAGGAGGTCATCTAGTCCAACCCCCTGCTCAAAGCAGGACCAATTCCCAACTAAATCATCCCAGCCAGGGCTTTGTCAAGCCGGGCCTTAAAAACCTCCAAGGAAGGAGATTCCACCACCTCCCTAGGTAAAGCATTCCAGTGCTTCACCACCCTCCTAGTGGTATAGTGTTTCCTAATATCCAACCTAGACCTCCCCCACTGCAACTTGAGACCATTGCTCCTTGTTCTGTCATCTGCCACCACTGAGAACAGCCGAGCTCCATCCTCTTTGGAACCCCCCCTCAGGTAGTTGAAAGCAGCTATCAAATCCACCCTCATTCTTCTCTTCTGGAGACTAAACAATCCCAGTTCCCTCAGCCTCTCCTCATAAGTCATGTGCTCCAGACCCCTAATCATTTTTGTTGCCCTCCGCTGGACTCTTTCCAATATTTCCACATCCTTCTTGTAGTGTGGGGCCCAAAACAAAATAAACAAAATAAACAAAAAAAAGTTATTAATGCCAAGGCATTGAATTCACTGGCCCTCCTTGAAGAAGTAATGACAACAATGTAATGACAACTGACAAGAAAAGACAACAAAGTCATAGCCATTAGTTCAAAGGGCTGTTGCATCAATTGTCCCTGTACTAAGTTGAGCTCCCAGCTGGCTGCAGGAGCTTTAATTGAAAGATGTAATTCTGATCATGTTTTAGTTACTCCTGAGGGCATTCTGTGCCAAAAAATTAAAAATTCTGCACCAAAAATAAAAATTCTGCACACAATATTTTAAAATTCTGCAAATTTTATTTGTCAAATAAATGTGGAGGCTCCAGCATGGCACTGGGGAGCACAGGACACTGGCTGCACAGAGGTGGGAGATCACTGTCCAGCCCCCCCATTCCTCCACACATGGACTCAGCGGTGAGGCTGAACTCAATCATGACACAGTGCAAGGTCCGGGCCTGCCCCAGAAACACCCCAGGGCCCTGACCCTCCATGCCAGGTACACCAGGTGTGGGCAGGCAGGCTCAGCAAGGCAGGATCCAAGTGTGGAAGGGCTTAGTTTGGGGGGACAGGTGTGGGGCAATCTGTGTGCGGGCAGCTCAGCAGAGGATCCGGATGCACAGGGGATTGTTGGGGGGTTCTGGGTGCAATGGTAATGGAAGTCTGCAGGGGAGTCCAGGTGAAAGTGGTTGGGACTCAGTCGGGGACGGGGAAGTGGGGGGTTCGTCTGAGTGTGGTGGGGATAGAGCTCAGCAGGGAGGGCTGGATGTGGGGAGGGCTGGGGGGGCAGATGCTGAGAGAGTGGGGCTCAGTGGTGTGGGGATCCAGGCGCAGATGGTTGGGGCTTGGTGGGGTGGAGATCCGGGTGCAGGTGGCTCGTTGGGGTGGTCCAGGTGTAGGGGGAGTGGGGCTCATTGAGGGGGGTGTTCTGAGTGCAGAGGGGTGAGACTTGATGAGAGAGTCTGAGTATGAGGGGGGGTCTGGATGCATGGGAGTTGGGCAGATGTGGGAGGAGCTCCCTGTACAGGGATCCTTGCCCCTGCAGCTGAGGAGTGATGGGTGCAGGAAACGGGGGGAGGGAGTTTGCAGAGTTTCCTTTAGCTGGGGGAGAAATCTGGGGGTGGATCTGACCCAGCCCCAGATGCCGTGCAGGGGAAAAGGAAGTCCCATCCTTCACAGCCCAGCTGGGACTAGCAACTGAGCCTGGAGCAGGGTAGGAGCCACCAGCCATGTCTTCCCCAGTCCCACCCCCGCCGGAGGGTCATACTGCTGGAGGGTTGCATGACCGCTCTCATCTTCCTTTTGCTTCCCTGTCAGAAAGTCATTTTTCTGCGGGGAAGCAAAAAAATCTGAAGGGGACATAAATTCTGTGTATGTGCAGTGGCATAGAATTCCCCCAGGAGTAATTTAGTGAATCAAAAGGGATAGGAGGGTAAAAACTAACTTTTCCTCATAGATAAGTGGAGGGCTCTTACTGCAGTTACAAGTAAGATACCAACAAAGTTCCAAAAGTGCCTAAGGAAATTAGGCATCTAACACCCTTAGGCTAGTTTTAGTGAATCTACCAAGTAAGTAGCTAAGACAGGTTTTGACTGACATTGATTCTGAAGTGAGACCGTGTTCAACATACACACCTTTTAAAACACAGCAGATCTTTTCTGGACCACAAGAGGATCTTGACTAGTTGATCCAGATCCCAAGTTTTTAAAGCTTACTATTAAGTTCCAGACTGCCAGTTTAAACTTCTGAGCCTTGAAAACTTATTAATCATTGCATTACTAAGTCTCTGGAAATAGGTAACCTCCACAGAGGGCATTTTTCAGGAGAAAAAGCATTTGATAAGCAAACAAGGAAGAGGACTCAAGCCCCATCCATTTTGAATTTTCTGGTTACCTAAGCCAGGAAAGGAAAAAGAATGGGTGCACATAAAATGGTATGTCCACTTGAATTAGAACAATTTATCTTCCATATCCTGCTCTCCCACTGCCTCAGATAGAAAAAGTACAATTTTTTGTTGCTTGAAGCAAATACGTTGATCTGCTGACTCCCCTCACTCTGGAAGATAAACTGAAGGGCACCGACTTTCAGTTCCCTCTCCCTGGCTCTGAACCAGGATGGAGGTGGCAGTCATGAAGGGCATTTGGCGAGTCATGGTTTTGCTAACGGCTAGCAATTCCAACTAATTGATGCTTCTCCTTTATTCACAAAGGGACCTTTTTTTCCATAACAAGAATGGAACTCTACTGTACAACTTTCCAACTGTTCAGGCAGGCACCACAGTGACCTTTAATTTTAGGCATTTCAGTCAAAGCATCCCCCATCAAGTTCCTAGCTTTGCTCCACCATCTCAGTGATTGAAAGACATAAGCCATACTTATGAAGGTCTCATACACGTTCTCAGTGTCCATGAAGAATCTAAGCCCCTTTCCTGGGATCGGACAAGAGAAAATGTCCTCAAAAAGAGGTTACATCAAATAGGGTCCAAAAAAGCTTGCTCTTTGGTCAGGACAGAGGGAAGCGTCAAAAGGATGTGGAATTTGGTGATGAATGCAGGATGAAAAATTCTATGTGGTAGCCATGATGCTCAGGCACAAACCCATTTGTCCTGGATAGTTCCAGCCCAAACCTGCAGCAAACTTTTCAACTTGCCCCCAATTGGGGAGAGAGTCTGATCCATCCAATTCTCATTATTTATTGGGAGAGGGACTGGAGATAACCTGCTTTCTTCTGGATTCTTGAGATAAGGGCCACGAGAAGTACTCTTTTCCTTTGGAGACAAGAAAGGATTAGGTTCTGATGTTTTGCTAGAATCTTTAAGTTTTTTGCCCTTGAGGAAGAAATGTGTCTCTTCCTTGGGCCAGAGGAAGCTTACTCAGATCCATGGCTTCTTTCACCACTGTATCTAAGGCTTCCCCATATAATTTTTGGCCATCAAAGGGAACTTGAATCAAATGGACACTCAATATGATACCCACATCTCAGGACCTTACTCTTCCTGGCAAGAGTGGAGCAAAGTAGGAAGAGCAGAAAGAAAACTTTGTGATATCACAAGCTGCATCACATATAGGAATGGGTTATATGCAAGTTCCAGATCCTCTTCTTTCTGACTTTGTTCTGTTTAAATATCAATATAGATGACTTGAGCACTTCAGGGAATCTCTAAATGATGCTGTATGCTATAGCTGCATGCAGGGTAGCCAAGGAGTAGTCTGCTTCTCTGAAGAGACTGTTCTAGCCTCTCATCCACTGGATGCTTAGGGGCTCCTTCCATGGAAATAACAGATTTTATAGGAAGAGATGGTATTGAAGAGTTCACCTTTGGTACAAAGCACAACTTAAATCTCTCTCCATAAGGAATTTATACAATCTGAACTGCTTCTACAAGACAAAGGCAGAACACTGGGAAGGGATACAGTTCCTGGCTATAAACAAAGTCCTTAGGCCAAAATTTCTATCCATGTCTCCATGCATAGACGTGGGCATGGTTACCCCAGTCAGTTTCCAGATTGATGGGTTCCCTGAATATGAGAGAGAGAATTATAATCCATGTTACCAAGCAGACTGTTTGGTGAATACGTAGTGGGCTCAGTACACTTTATTCATGGTTCAACTTAATAGCTTACAGGAAAACGTTAGGTTTCCAATTTTTACTATTTTCAACTGTAATTATTTAACACCTCATCTCACTCTTGAATACTTGGGGGGTTGGATTACAGTGGTCAATGACACCTGGATAGTGTTATATACTATGGTAATGAGCATGATATAAAAGTCTACATTACATAGGATAGGTAGTGATAGCTGGGATTGCTTCAGGATTTCCCCGAGTTGCAGACGGAGGAGTAATCAGGAGATGGAGGGGGGAATAGGAGAGAGCAGGCAGCAGAGGAAGGAGCAGCCAGAACAGCAGGACTTTGGTGGGAATTCAGGGAGCCAGGAATACAAGAGATACAGAGAGGAGGTCTGAGGGATAGTGAACATGTTGAAACAGGAGAGGCACATGGTGTTGAGGATATTGAACAGGAAATGCTGGTATTCATGAAAAGGAAATCTGTCAGGGGTTTGGTGGTGGTCCAGTTAATTCAGGAGACAAAGTTGAGCAATAAGCCAGTAAGGTGACAAAGCTCTCTGTTAGCTGATAACCAGAAGGTGCTGCCCCCTAAACTGGCTTGACAAGAACCAAAGGGTACACTGTACTCTAGAAGCAATGGCTGTTACCCAGTTTATTACATAATTGAGTTCTGCACACCACTAACATTACACTTCATTTGCAAGGAGTTGAGTGATAGGTTTAAACTAGTGAGGTCTGAATGGAGTTGGAGATATAGGTTTAGATGTAGCAGTTTTTCTTACCTTTCAAATGCTGGCCATGAAGTCTCTTCACTAAGTTCTGAACCATCACTGCTACCTAAAACCAGAAGGCATAATACTTTGAAACCAACTATTTTATTCCTCAGTTTGTACCATCTGTAGTCTAATTGTTCCAATTGTGACATTTTTTCCTTAGAATTTCTATGAGAGTGATTAGGCAGAAATAAATCTATAACAAACGCTACATAGAAGGTGCTCACTTTAGGAATGACTTAAGAGTTATAGATAAAAAATGTAGGAGATATGGATTTGGTAGGAGACTGGTTCTATGTATCTGCAATATCCAAAGGCTAAAGGGGAGAAGTGTTCTCAAAATTAATGCAACAATCCCAAATTTTCATCTGTCTAATTTCATGCCCAACCTGATGAGCATTTAAAAGGACCTGCTTCTTTAGGTGCCATCACAACACAAAACGTGATAATTCACTGTCATGATGAACAGATGCAGCTTCGTTACATACAGGAGTAGACTGGAACTTAATCCACTAGCTCCAGACTAACTTCACTGAGAGTCTCCAATATCTTAAAAGCCAATGCTGGTTCAGAAACCCTTAATTAACTTTTTTAAGTTAACTGAATTTAACCCAGAGCCGGCACTAGGCATAAGCAGACTAAGCAATTGCATAGGGCCCCAAGTAGCTTAAGGGGGCTCCGTATTAATTATTAGTATGTGTTCTGTGTGATCAGGGGGAAATATTTCTGCATAAGGCCCCCCAATGGGCTAGCACCAGCAATGATTTAACTGATATGCTTATTAAAATCATAGAAATATAGGGCTGGAAGGGACCTGAAGAGATCATCTAGTTTATCCCCTACCCCCATGCTCAGGTAGGATTAAGTATACCTAGATTTAGGCAAACAATTAGGTTTAATTGTTTAAAAAATAATTGTTTCAGGAAAGTGAGGTGTATGGTCAGACTATTAGTGCATCTGTTTTGCTCCACAGAACATATGGGATGGAGATGACAGATTCTGTAAAGACTAATATATAAATGTGACCATATGGAGGTGTTGTTGGCAGCTCCATAGTACTGAGATCTGCAGTTACAATGGTGACTAAATCCCATAGTCAGGTCTGAAAATTAGATATATGATCAGAAAACTTATGCCAGTTTCTCCTATGGTTAATTTTCTGGTTATCACTTCTGGAATCTGAAGTCATTTCAAATGACCTCCTTTTGAAATGTGCACCTACTCAATTTTTTTTCTCAGATCTCTCTAACTTACAAATTCCTTGGCCTTAACAGCTGAAACTAAGTATATGTACAAAAAATTCAGTATAAAAGGAAGTTTAAAAAATAAAAATAAAGTTATTTACATTACTTATAACTGCTTCTATTTACATCAAGAGATACCCTCTTGTCATTAATCTCTCTGGTACTTATAATGGCCCCCATTACCATAGTATCTGAGCGCCACACAATCTTTAATATATTTATCCTCAGAACACCCCTCTCTGAGGTGGGGCAAGCGCTACTGTCCCCATTTTACAGATGGGGAACTAAGGCACAGAGATAACAATAAAGGATTTGAACCCAGCTCTCCATAGTCCTAGGCCACTGCCCTAACCACTAGATTATCCTTCCTCTCTACTGGCTACAGCACAGCATTTAAGAATTGAAGCATTTAAAATTGTAAATTCAAACTTCAGTTGCTTCACTGTCTGCAATATAAGGCCCCTCTTCCCTGCTAGACTCTCTTTCTTGCTCTTTAACCTTCAGATGAGCCCTGCTTCCTGGCTCCAGCTACCAGACTTGCTATCACCCAATCATAAGAATGGCCTTACTGGGTCAGACCAAAGGTCCATCTAGCCCAGTATCCTGTCTTTCGACAGTGGCCAATGCCAGGTGCCGCAGAGGGAATGAACAGATAATCATCAAGTGATCCATTCCCTGTCGCTCATTCCCAGCTTCTGGCAAACAGAAGCTAGGGACACCAGACCTGCCCATCCTGGCTAATAGCCATTGATGGACCTATCCTCCATGAATTTATCTAGTTCTTTTTTGAACCCTGTTATAGTCTTGGTCTTCACAACATCCTCTGGCAAAGAGTTCCACAGGTTGACTAGCTCCAGCCTCCAAAAAATCCCTGCTCCTCAGCTCCATCCCCATTCTACAATAGCCTCTAGCCAGTCCATCACACTGACTTCCTTAATGCTATCCAAGTCCACAACTTCCCTCCTCTGCCTACTGTTGACTTGCTATATACTATAACAGCAGGGGAGTCCCAGCTCTGAGAATGATTTTGGGGTAAGTTTTTTAAAATCTTAGTAGGGAGGTAGCATTGGCCTTGAGGGTCATGGAAGGAGCCAGGGTGAAGGGCAGCTTAGAGCTGAGCTGGAGAGCAAGGTTGTCTGTGGCTTCAAGGCTGGAAAAATCAGTGAGGAACAGGGATGCCTTTATGGATACAGCATGGTTGTGTGGACGCAGAACTGGAGACCTGCAAGGTTACATCTGTAGTATGCAAGGTCTTAGAAAATTTTTTGAAAGAGAAAGTAGTTAAGGACATTGAGGTCAATGGTAATTGGGACAAAATGCAACATGGTTTCACAAAAGGTAGATCGTGCCAAACCAACCTGATCTCGTTCTTTGAGAAGGTAACTGATTTTTTAGACAAAGGAAATGCAGTGGATCTAATTTACCTCGATTTCAGTAAGGCATTTGATACGGTTCCACATGGGGAATTATTAGCTAAATTGGAAAAGATGGGGATCAATATGAAAATTGAAAGGTGGATAAGGAACTGGTTAAAGGGGAAACTACAACGGGTCATACTGAAAGGTGAACTGTCAGGCTGGAAGGAGGTTACTAGTGGAGTTCCTCAGGGATCGGTTTTGGGACCAATCTTATTTAATCTTTTTATTACTGACCTTGGCACAAAAAGTGGGAATGTGCTAAGAAAGTTTGCGGATGACACAAAGCTGGGAGGTATTGCTAATACAGAGAAGGACCGGGATATCATACAGGAAGATCTGGATGACCTTGTAAACTGGAGTAATAGTAATAGGATGAAATTTAATAGTGAAAAGTGCAAGGTCATGCATTTAGGGATTCATAACAAGAATTTTGGTTGTAAATTGGGGACACATCAGTTGGAAGTAACAGAGGAGGACGACGACCTCGGAGTATTGGTTGATCACAGGATGACTATGAGCCGCCAATGTGATATGGCCGTTAAAAAAGCGAATGCGGTCCTGGGATGCATCAGGCGAGGTATTTCCAGTAGAGATAAGGAGATGTTAGTACCGTTATACAAGGCACGGGTGAGACCTCATCTGGAATATTGTGTACAGTTCTGGTTTCCCATGTTTAAGAAGGATGAATTCAAACTGGAACAGGTACAGAGAAGGGCTACTAGGATGATCCGAGGAATGGAAAACCTGTCTTATGAAAGGAGACTCAAAGAGCTTGGCTTGGTTAGCCTAACTAAAAGGCGGCTGAGGGGAGATATGATTGCTCTTTATAAATATATCAGAGGGATAAATATCAGGGAGGGAGAGGAATTATTTAAGCTTAGTACCAATGTGGACACAAGAACAAATGGATATAAACTGGACATTAGGAAGTTTAGACTTGAAATTAGATGAAGGTTTCTAACCATTAGAGGAGTGAAGTTCTGGAACAGCCTTCCAAGGGGAGTAGTGGGGGCAAAAGACATATCTGGCTTCAAGACTAAGCTTGATAAGTTTATGGAGGGGATGGTATGATGGGATAGCCTAATTTTGGCAATTAATTGATCTTTGATTATTAGCAGGTAAATATGCCCAATGGTCTGTGATGGGATGTTAGATAGGGTGAGATCTGAGTCACTACAGAGAATTCTTTCCTGGGTGCTGGCTGGTGAGTCTTGCCCACATGCTCAGGGTTTAACTGATCGCCGTATTTGGGGTCGGGAAGGAATTTTCCTCCAGGGCAGATTGGCAGAGGCCCTGGAGGTTTTTCGCCTTCCTCTAAAGCGTGGGGCACGGGTCACTTGCTGGAGGATTCTCTGCACCTTGAGGTCTTTAAACCACGATTTGAGGACTTCAATAACTCAGGCATAGGTTAGGGGTTTGTTACAGGAGTGGGTGGGTGAGATTCTGTGGCCTGCGTTGTGCAGGAGGTCAGACTAGATGATCATAATGGTCCCTTCTGACCTTAAAGTCTATGAGACTACAGAATGGGGCTGGGACCAGGGCATGGGGTTACTCGGAAAAACTTTTCACACCCAGCAGACATAGCTTTAAACTTAAGGTCCAGCTTTTTCCCCTTGACTTCAAAGGATTTCATGTGAACCAATTAGGGCTTGGAGACAATGAAACTCTTCAAGCCCTGACTAGAGAAGGCTCTCTTCATTGGATACATAAAGTCTGAGAGAAAGCAATCTCTACTTCCCTATCTGTAGAGCCCTCCTCCTTGGCCAATCCAAACCCTAAGCTGAGGGGTCCCGTTTTTCAAAGGGACACTATTAAGGGCCCAAAAGCAAGCTATTCTGCTGGTTAGGAAAGATAGAAAAAGTGGCAAAAGACCACCTTGGCTTAACCACGAGATCTTGCATGATCTAAAAAATAAAAAGGAGTCATATAAAAAATGGAAACTAGGACAGATTACAAAGGATGAATATAGGCAAACAACACAGGAATGCAGGGGCAAGATTAGAAAGGCAAAGGCACAAAATGAGCTCAAACTAGCTACGGGAATAAAGGGAAACAAGAAGACTTTTTATCAATACATTAGAAGCAAGAGGAAGACCAAAGACAGGGTAGGCCCACTGCTTAGTGAAGAGGGAGAAACAGTAACAGGAAACTTGGAAATGGCAGAGATGCTTAATGACTTCTTTGTTTCGGTCTTCACCGAGAAGTCTGAAGGAATGCCTAACATAGTGAATGCTAATGGGAAGGGGGTAGGTTTAGCAGATAAAATAAAAAAAGAACAAGTTAAAAATCACTTAGAAAAGTTAGATGCTTGCAAGTCACCAGGGCCTGATGAAATGCATCCTAGAATACTCAAGGAGCTAATAGAGGAGGTATCTGAGCCTCTAGCTATTATCTTTGGAAAA